CATGCAATTGTGCGAGGGAAAGAAAAAGCGGGTTTGCTGGCTACAAAAGCTATAGCTAAGGGAATACTCCTGCTAGACAAGTTAAATATTTTAAAGACCATACATGAACGAATGTTGACAGAAGACAAGAAATTAGATAAAATAACACGCAAAGGAAGGTGTAAACAAAGAATTATGAGTGGATCCGGCAATGAGAGACAAATTAGAGTAAGAGAACGACGGGTGTGTAAACAGTGTGCTAAGGGAACAGTAAGCATCTTTATCTTAAGACGCTGGGGGAGACGGATCCATCTATGGGTATGCTCGGTGTTCTATAATGTCGCTTCCTAAATCAGTAATCAGTTATCAATATGCAGTCCTGGTGGAGTTGATAAGGCCTGGATGAGGCACTAATATACATGTTGGTTGATAAGAAAGTCTTAAATATGGTAAAAAATAAGATGGTATTTGTGATTTAAAACTGATGAAGAAAAGACTGAATATGCAGTTAGGCTGGGAAATCCAGTTTCTGTTAGTAATGATAAATTCAGCAAACAGGTATGTCAAGACCTATGTATGCCTGTGTGGATTATGGCTGATGAACATTATGCTTAATCTTATAAACATGAATCCCCATAAATTGGTCCCATTAATTCAACTATCTCAATAGCCTTTTTCCCAATTTGAAACACTCTAATATTCACCAATAACTCCATGCTGCATACGTAACGATGCAACCTTCACGAACTAAACAAAAGTGGCCAGATGCTAACCAGGCTGCGTTACAATTTTGCCAGATTATTTATGAATGGTGCCTGTTTGGATGATATGCTTTGCTTTATCGAAGGCGTTTATTTGTGTGTGAATGTGGGGGTAGGGGGGCGGGGCGGGCGGAGAGTGTGCTTCTTTGCCTTGGCTTTAATTAAATCAGTCTCCTTTTTAGTCGAACTGCATAGTAATGGAGAGTAAAGTCAGGCTTTTAGAGAACTTATTGTCACAGAAAGAGATTAGAGCTTGTTTCATAGGTGAATTAATTGAAAAAAAAAAAAAACCTGAAATGATTCAGTCCCTTAGTGCGCTTAAATCCGATAATTCTCTCAGCCAGAACTCGCAAGAACATGTAAACACCAAGAGGCGGTGGAAGATGTAGAAAATATAGACTGAAGGAGTCACTGCCAGCCTGCAACTGTATAAGATCGCAGCATACAAAACAACGGAGCTCTGTCTCGATTACCTACCATCTGATCAAATTAGAAGCCAAACAGCACAAAAACGATATTCCCCTACCCCCTCCCCCCCCCCTTTTTTTTTCCTTTTTTTTTTCCTACGAAAAAATAAATAAATGGTGTTGCAAGGCATACGAAAGGACTGCTAGATGTTGGCTGGACCAATTCCGTTGGGAGATGAAAAGCAGAAGTAAGAAAACTCTGTGTAATCTGAGTGAGATGGAGTGTCAATAAATTGGCGCTTTCCGAGCCATGGGTATTTGGGGTACACAGTGCATTTGTGCCATCTGTTGCCTCCAGGCCTTTACCTGTAAATTGTGACACCCTGAGATCAGAGGATCGCAGTCTGGATAGTGGACCATCGGGACCTGAAAAGTGAGGTTACATAACCTCGTGCTCTGATGGCTTCTTTTTATAAATTTAACGAAAAGCCCCTACGTCTACAAACTATCGTTGACCCAAATGCGAAAGAACTGTCAACTGATAAAGTCAACCCTAATGTATTCTTGTGTGCAATTTGAACATTTCACTCATTAAATTAAAACGGTTTTGAATGTCAAAATTATGTTCCTTTCAATAGCTACGAGTTATATTATGTTATTTAATCGACTTCTTTGCACACTGGGCATTCCCATGAGTGCTCAGACCTCCAATACAGCAGCCACTCCAAGGTGTCTCTACCGATTGTTCCTATGAAGAGTTGATCACCTCGAAGACGTTATAGACCTAGCTGAAGGCCTCGGTCACGCAATCGTGTTGGCGTCAGAGATTCAACATTACTCCACAAACTTGTCCGTACAGCGTTGACGACGGCAAGTCTCTCCATGCTTCTTTCCTTTAGCACTGGTACATACTTGCCAACTGTTCAGGTCTTTCATTATCATTTACTCCTGCATGCTCAGGGTTGTAGATACAAAGGATAAGGAGTTAACTGCGAGTTTCCAATGCTTTCTACCCATTTACAGCGTAGACCTCTTGTTGCTATTTTCTGGGCATTTTGTTGTTGTGCTCCCAAGCACGTGTGTATGTGTGTGTGTGTGTGTGTGTGTGTGTGTGTGTGTGTGTGAACAGCATACATTTTTTAAGCCAGCGAATATTCGAGGTTTCAGCAGGAAGTGACCTGACAGCGTTGGTCAATTATAAACGTCATCCTTGATGTAGAACTGATCCGAAGATTCTTATCTAGTCACACTATGGCTCAAAAAACTTAATTTTAAGGGCATTAAACTAATACGATAACACACATTTAAAACTGAACTATTAATTCACTCAGTCTCAAGTAGTTTAAGGGGTCACTACAGCAGAATTTTTAAAAAATTATTTACAGAGTAAGAGCAGTTATTTTATAATGGTCATTTGAAGGGATATATGTTAGTACATTTTTATACTTTAAGTGTAAAAAAAAAACATAGTTGTCATGGCCGCCATCTTTATATATATATATATATATATATATATATATATATATATATATATATATATATATATATATATATATATATATATTTTTTTTTTTAAATCCTTAATAGCCTTGAAAGGTACAAGTTAGGAGCAGAATACGTTATAGAAATAACTGAGTTAGAATGGCTAAAGATAAATGAATAGAACAAACATGGTTAAGGAAAAAAAAAAAGTACCATACATACATAAACTAATGTACGTAATGTGAATTCAATGTACTGAGAAAGTTAAAAATGGATTATGTAGACCACGACTACTTTATTGTACCTACTGGTGAATTCCGTTTAGCAGTAACCTCTCTGCTGCGTTCATCGGCATGATCATCTTACTGTTAAAAATTCTAGTTTGGACAAAGTCTGTACAGTTGAGCCATGGTTTGACCGGACGACCACAGAACCAGGGTGAACAGTTGATCTCGGACAGATCACATATCTCCGTCTGGTTAACGCCGGGGATTACAGGAACGTGACAGCAGACGGCTGCTTCGTCTGCCTGCGACAACAGCACCGATTTTATGAATGCAAATGCAAGGCGATACTACAACATCGTATCATAATATAGCCTAATAGTTAAAAAAGAACAACCTTGCCCTGAATTCTGTTTTTCCCCCTTCTCTCACCCCCCTCCCCCCCACCACCTCACCAACCCCTAGTTTTAAACTCGTGGAGAGTTCTGGGTGTTCGCTCACCTCTGGACCTTAGTTTCGTATTAGATTCTGTTTAATGCGTACACAACCGTTTTACAAATCTAATCTTTTTGTGTGCAGACTATTGGCTTCTTACCCTTCCATCAGATACACGCCGACTTTAAAGAAACACCTTATTAGTCTTCTCGTAAGACATGCTTGTTTAGCAATCAGTGTTACTTCCTCCCTTCCTTCCCATCCCCATCCTCATGTTGTACGGGAACCCAGATAGTAACCTGACGCTATGAAAACACAAATGTCACATTGAGAAACGGTAATAAAAGGTGATCTTTAGCATAAGAAAGTAATGCACCGGAAAGCAAACACGACAGGATCCTTCTGATTTTCAGAAGAAATCCCCCTTCGACAAATGTTTCGGTCTCTTTATCTTTCTAACACTCTTTGGGTATTGGGCTATCCTCACTCAAACCGATGCCAGTATGCTTTGGAAAGCATCATTTTCGTAACACGACAGAGGGCAAAGGCTGCTGGAAGTTAAGAGTAGAAACGACCTGTTACTGGTTTCATAGGGAAATATTAGGTCGCACGGCTCAGGTGGCTGGGTTACACCTGGAGAATGGAGCATGGCAGAGTTCCTAAAGACATCCTTTATGGTGAATTAAAGGCAGGAAGAAGATGTCGAATCCGACCTGCACTACGGTATAAAGATGTGTGCAAGCGGGACATGAATGATACAGGGATTGAGATTTATTCATGGGAACAAAATGCCTATGGACCGTGTTGTGAGGTAGGGGCATATCAGAAACGGAATAAGAGTAAAGTAAGAAATGATTACAGAAAGGATGAGAGCTGAGCGTCTGAAAAGAAACGGATTAAACACAAATGTTGACAACAATGGTCCTGAATTCCCATGCTATCATTGTGGAAGACTTTTCTTGACACGTGCGGGTCTTGCTAGTGACACTCGCCATCGCCATGGGCTGTCTCACACCTCCTCATAGCACAATATAACACTATCGTCTGGAAAGAAGGAAAGATGCCAATGATGACTGTGGAATATGCAGCACATAACGAATGCCAGAAGCAAAAGAAAAATAAACTTGCCATGACTAAAAGCTTTAACTCTGCCTATCCGCCATTGTTTTCGTATAATTTATCTATCTGTTGAATTTTAATTACTAGGTAGGTTAGAATGCCAGATGACAGAGAAGTAAAAACGGCCGTAAAAGATGAATGGTCGTAGACCACGAGGCAGACAAAGAAGAATATGGAGAGATAATGTCCAGACAGACCTGCAAACACTTGGTGTCACCAACTGGAAAGAGAAGACAACCAGAAAGATCAATGGAGGTGGGTGATATCTGTAGCAATTAACCTCAAAGGCTCGAAATGCTGAAGAAGAAGAAGAAGAAGAAGAAGAAGAAGAAGAAGAAGAAGAAGAAGAAGAAGAAGAAGAAGAAGAAGAAGAAGAAGAAGAAGAAGAAGAAGAAGAAGAAGAAGAAGAAGAAGAAGAAGAAGAAGAAGAAAAAGAAAGAAAGAAAGAGAAGAAGAAGAAGAAGAAGAAGAAGAAGAAGAAGAAGAAGAAGAAGAAGAAGAAGAAGAAGAAGAAGAAGAAGAAGAAGAAGAAGAAGAAGAAGAAGAAGAAGAAGAAGAAGAAGAAGGAAGGACGGTTACTTTATCAAACTTGCAGTAGACTTACTATGGCGTTCCTATACGCTCCAAAATAGATAACTGCTGATTTTATCATGAGGTGAGTTAGGACTACAGTCTGCTTATACTCTCTGCTGTAAGCCAGTCCTGCATGGGTTCTGATAGACAAATAATAGAGTAAAGTAAAGTGATGAACGAAGAACTGATATCATATCACTCATGACATAACAAAGCGCTTTGTTCTGATCTTCAGGGATCAGGGAACAGCTACTATTACGATGGTGCCAGTGGCAGTTGATTTTATGTTCGACTTGCCCTTTCTTACAGTGTAGAGTGTCGGGCAGATCCCCTGTCACGCCTGGCTGTACCATGATCCCCAGACCATAATGATCAGTTCGTGCCTCTGAATTGTTTACATGCTCACAAAGGACTTTGACAACATCTTGCTTGGCATGCATGCATTCATCACCCAATGTTGGAGAACCAGCCAGTCTATGTGCATATTCATTTCTCATCACGCATGCGTAACCCAGAGAATAACTCTTAAGAACGCCAACTATAGTAAAGAAAGTAAAGGACTTTTTGCGCCACAGTAGCGCATCGGACAAATGGTGCCTAACTAATCAAGCACCTTATAGATTTTTTGATCATGGATACACTGTCTCTACCTCATCTGACATTTCTTTGTGCCATTTTAGGCTGTGTCGGCCTGCCCAGCTTCATTATTCTGCAAATGAAATATGTGCGTATCGAAACCCTATACATCAGGGCCATCAGGAAAGCGTGGTAGGCAAGCAGGCGATATTTTATACGTGTTTCTCGTATTACTATAGGGTTAGTCATAATAATCGACACACATTGTATTCCCTGGGTAATACATTGCATATGAATAATGTGCATAGACGAGAGAGAGAGAGAGAGAGAGAGAGAGAGAGAGAGAGAGAGAGAGAGAGAGAGAGAGAGAGAGAACGAACAAACGAACAAACTTTATTTTCAAAGGGTTACAAATTGGGCACGCAGGCCCGTCTGACATTCGTCCCTTCTAAGTACTCATTTTTCAGAGTACCAATACCTGTTATCAATAATGCATGTTATGGATATAATAAAGAAATGAGAGCAAGCGAGAGAGAGAGAGAGAGAGAGAGAGAGAGAGAGAGAGAGAGAGAGAGAGAGAGAGAGAGAGAGAGAGAGAGAAAGAAAGAGAGAGAGAACAAACGAACAAACATTTTTTTTTCACAGCGTTACAAATTGGGCACGCAGGCCCGTCTGACACTCGGCCCTTCTAAGTCCTCATCTTTCATAGTACCTATGCCTGTTATCATTATTGCATGTTATGGATATATATATATATATATATATATATATATATATATATATATATATATATATATAGAGAGAGAGAGAGAGAGAGAGAGAGAGAGAGAGAGGGGAAGGTGTACAGTTTACAAACCGACGAAAGAGGTTGTAGATGTTTATAATGGAACGCGTCTGCTGCTCGACGAACACCTAAGCTTCAGCTGGGCTCATCCCACGCACGAAGAAGCGTTTCTTGTGTAACTGAGTTCAACGCAGCGGAAAAACGGATTCCGCAGGCAGGCAACTGGGCTCAAGGAGTGGTATTGGAAACCTTAGATCCCCCCCCCCCCCCCCCCCAACTTGTATGTGTATTATTCATATTCAATGTATATTCAAGGAAATATGTCAAAAAAAAAAAAAAAAAAAAAGTAAAGATCCCTTTCACGCCTTTAGGCGTATCGGGCATATGGGAAGAGCGCCCATATTTTTACAGACCATCAGCACTCGGTGGGTAATGTGGGCAGCATTACGCCGGCTGTCTTTCCTTTCCCAGGACAGCCCATCCTGGTACCCATTTGAGGCTGGGTCGACCTGCGACGTCCCATACCACGATAAAAATCCACGCAGCCCGCAGTGGGTTTCGATCGCGGTACGTTGGATTACGAGTCGGACTCGCAACGCCTTAGACACGGACGCCGCTCAAGGAAATATGCATGAGTGAAAGTGTGTCCATAATTTTGAATAACTGTATTTTAAAATATATTGACTTATTCTTCATTCGTGCAGATATTTTTTTAGGCGTAATTTGTGTTTCTGTTTACAATATCTCTCACATTTTCACACACTGGCCAACACATCCGAATTCTTCAAGATGTGTGTTGATGGGTTAGATTTCCCGAGTCATTGACAGTTGTTACAATACAGGAAACATGCGCCCACCTTAGTAAACAAACTTTATCACTTGGATTGACACTCACAATTTCAGAAAACAACCGCTCAGGTAGGAGGCCAAACTAGACAACAAAACCTGTGACCAAAATAGTTACAACTCCTTGAATCAAACTTAGCACTTCTAGATAAACCTGTTGGCTGGAAAAGAGATCTTGGAACCCAGAAGAAAATCATAAGCCGGAAAGCGGCGAAAACACAAATAATGTTAACGACACATACTGACAGATCATGATGATGACTGGGGGCAGCCTGGTTAGAAAGTTAAAAATACAGGTACTGTTTTGTTTTTAATGAATGAACAACTAAATATCAAAATATCTTCTTGAAATTTGGTGAGCATGTGCTTGATACATGACTGTTCTTTAACTTATATTTTTTTTTTTTTTTTTTTTTTTTTTGCAAACGTGTTCAACCTTGCTAAATTATTTTTTAATTGAAAATATTGTAAAAGTGAAAAAAAGATTTTTTTATACAAATATTTTATGAACAAACTTAAAAAAACTTTAAAAAGTCCTGACTTTTGGAGCCATAGCAGTACATTGTTACAGTCAGATGCCCTTCCTCTAGTTTGTCTGTACTAAATATACTTTTGAAGTTATGAAGTTTTTAATTTGGGGCTAAAATGACTAGCAAATTATAAAATTAAAATATGTATAACTCAACTTAAATTAGATAACTCTCAAAGCTGGTGGTAGGGGGCGTAGCTGTTATTGTGTTAAAGCTGTGTAATAAAGTTTATTAATGTATCTCCAATAGTTTATGAAAAAACACCAAAAGATCAGTCAAAACACCTACATTTGGCAAAGTTTTTCGTGAATTTTTAAAGATAATAATTGCACTTGCTCTGCTTGAATGAGCTAATGTCCTCCATGTAAACTTCCTGGTGTACCTCCTTCTCATCTCTAGTAAGTCTACTCCGCCTCTTAGCTATTCTGGCTTCATATAATGTATCTCTGGCTTGCTGTTGAGTATTTTTTATGCAGCGTATATCCTTATCTAGGAAACAATCCTTATTTTGAAAACAGTCTATAGGAAACTGTCCAACACTGAGCTCCCATGCCTCCACAAGATCCAAGAATGCCCTATCACAATCACTGAATACTCACTGCTAATGAAACAGCTGTAGTTACAACCAGTAGTTGTAGCCACTTCAGTCACTGAAAATACAATCTTACTAATACTTCCTAACCCTTGCCTCTGAGTTTCAACTAATCTGAGGCTATGATGACAACTTGCACACACTAATTGTGATGAAACATTCTGACACAAAATGTCCGTATGATATAAATAATAATAATTATGTTGCCACTGGGTACCAGTTTAGATAAATCGTTCCTTTCTCTATCAATGTCACTACTAAAATCATCAGAACACTTTTATTTATCCTCTAGATCTTCATTCATAATGTTGTCCATAAACAGAGGAAGGGGGCGTGGCACTTACATATTTTGAAATTACTAAAACCTTATTTTCTTTATCAGAAACTGGACAAGTGTCAGTGTCACTGCTTGAAACTAAAACTCCAGGGTCCGACTGTAAATCTACCAGTCAAAGTCGCTTTATTCTTTTCAAAGTGGCTTTGAAGCAGAAGTAAACTGATGTCCACCTCTCTGGGACTTTACATCTCTGTTATCGAAATGGAGGCGAAATTATTAACTAAATATTGATATAATATCAGAAAATATATAGCTAAACACATAAAAATCTCGCTATAAACACAATGCAAAATATCATCATCATCAGGTGCCTTGCCGACTGGCGTGAGCGATCATGCCTCTCCATAATCTGCTATCTCCTGCAGCATGTATCAGTTCGTGTGCCGACACACCTCCATGCCATGCAACAAGACTGTCAAGCATATTCTCTCGTTGTCTTCCTCTATCTCTCCTTCCACAGATCTTTCCAGTGGTCACAACATGTTCTATTTTCCCTCTTCTCATAACATGGCCGAAAAATGATGACTGTCTCCTTCTGATGTCTGTGATAAGTTGTCTTCGGGCTCCCGCCTCTTTCAAAACCTCTTGGTTGCTCTTTTTGGCTGTCCAAGGTATTCTAAGCATTCTTCTGTAAAACCACATCTCCGAGGCCTCCATAAATTGTTTGGCCTGCCTACCGATTGTCCAGGATTCACAGCCATGTGAGAATGCAAAAAAGCGGAAGTCAATTAGCGGAGTAGTCGTAATTTATAATAAGACCACAGAAACAAGGAGTGGTGCATTGTTTTGTATGGAAAAGTACAAGGATTTTCTCTCAAACGATGACGTTGAGCAACCCACATACACCCATTTAAAATCAAAATATCTCAGGTTCTGTTGGTCAGATTTTACAATTTTAAACTGCATATGAAAATAGATATGTTCATTTACAAGGTTATTGGCATAGAATATGTAAAAGCAAAAATATATTTTTCACATTTCAAGCCAGACTGCCCCCTTAAAAGCTGTACATGTAACAAACTCATGCCCAGCTCCGCCCATCTACACACTCATGACTGACGGAGTCCGGCCAGGACACTGTGATTTGATGTTCAGTCTCCGCTTTAACCTGTGTTACCCGCAGGTGTAAGTGGCAGGGCATCAGCTTGGTCGACGCTCCTACTGGCGACCACGCGGGCTCTGTATTACAAGATGTCAGCGTCTTTAACCCCAACGCCCCTCCCGCCCCCACACAATAAACTTTGGTCCCACGAGAAAGTGCAATCTACAGCAGTAGACCGGTTAATCCCTGTAACCTTAAGCTACCTGGACCAGCCTGACAAAGCATCAATGAAAGGTGACCGAGTGTGTAAATGGATGGAGCTAAGCATGAGTTCCTCATTAGTTAATTAAATAGTTTGTAATACGCTGACCTGCTTTGGAGGTGACGGTCAAGATATGGCAAAACCATTAAACGGGCCCAGAATCGGTAAATA